TAAATAAAATTTCATTCCAAATACTTAAAAAATTTTAAAATAACTTTGCAGTGGAAAATCACCATTACCAAAATCTACATTCTACACCAAAGTTATGCTTTAGCAGGAGTGGCAAAAATGAGCTCCCTAAATCCCCGATTCTTACCTAAGTTCTTAAAGAGAAAATAAAAATTATAATGCAAGAGGGCACTTGGTTATCACAATCCATTTAAGGTACAGTTTAGGTACATCTATCTAATTTCTTAAATAGACAAAAAAGTAACTGCTTATCACATTTGCAATTATTTTAATTGTAGACTTGGCTTGATGCCCAGCTCCTGAATCAGATGTAGGTCTTTGAAAGCAGAACTATCTTTGTCCATCTTGTATCCAGGGTAATATTACCCAGTACACAATTCGTACTCAATAACTAACTATTTTTTGAATGAATAAATATGCTTCATAAAATACAAAATCCCATCACGGTTCTTGGTTTGACAACTAGCCAAAACTAATCTCCTTTATCTGTGTTTTAAATAAGTAAGTTGCCCTTTCTGTTTGTTCTGACTTGCACTACAGAAAAGTCTCCACAGAGAAAAATAATCTCTACATTCCTCAGTAATCATGGCCCCTGATCATTCCAATTGCGGATATATGCCTAAAACAACCTCTTATTAATGCGCTACAGACAATCCATAGACTTGTCCCCATTCCTCCAAATTAAAAATCAGTTGTTACTTTTTTTCCTATTGTTTTTCAGATATAAGCTATTTGAAATTTTTCTCTCTGTACACAAAAGCTGACAGATACACAGATACAGAGTGGAAAGGTCTTAGAAGTCACCTAATACAATATCCCTACTTTCCAGATGTCTCCAAAGAAAATCACAATTGAAATAAAGTCACACTGTCAACATGGTTCCTAAGCCTCTTGGGACAAAACAAATATCAACTTTAATGATATTCAGAAAAGAGGGAGGTGTACATCCGCCAGCTCCTGTCTACAAAGAAAAGCCAAGGCAGAAGCCCCAGTTCTCCCAAGCAAGTAGTTCTAAATTCACTTGTTCATTCAACAGTTACGTTTGAGGGCTTTCTGGCATGGCAGACGCTATTCTAGGTGCCTGAGATACATCAATGAACAAAAAGAAAGATCACTGCCCATGCTGTACCTACACGTTAGGCAGAACTTTGGAGGCATCCAGGAGAATAGAGAAAAGAACATAGGTTCATTTTAAGAGAATGCGCAGGGCCAGAAGCAAACCTTAGCACCACTAGTGGTTCTCAAACTTGAATGTGTTTCAGAACCATCCAGAGGAATTATTAAAAACTCGGAAGGCCCTGCGCCACCCCAGAGCTTCTGATTCATTAAGATCTCAATGGGGCCTCAAATGTCCATTGACAGATGAATGGATAAAGGTGTGGTATATATATACAATTGAGTATTACTCAGCAAAAAGAATCAAATCTTGCCATTTTCAGCTACATGGATGGAACTAGAGGATATTATGCTAAGCGAAATTAGTTAGACAAAGATAAATATCATATGACTTCACTCATATGTGGAATTTAAGATATAAAACAGATGAATATAAGGGAAGGGAAGCAAAAATAATATAAAAACAGGGAGGGGGACAAAACATAAGAGATTCTTAAATATAGACAACAAACTGAGGGTTGCCGGGGGGGCTGTGGGTGCAGGGATGGGCTAAATGGGTAAGGGGCATTAAGGAGGGCACTTGGGATGAGCACTGGGTGTTATACATAGGGGATGAATCAAAGGAATCTACTCCTGAAATCATTATTGCACTATGTGCTAACTTGGATGTAAACGAAAAAATATATATACATATACAATATATACATATACATATATACATATATATATATATGGCAAAAAAAAGTAGAAAAAATATCTCAGTGGGGCCTTAGAATTTACATTTCTAATAAGCTCTCATCTAATGTAGACACTGCTAATCTAGGAAGCAAACTTTGAGAACCACTGACCTAGTTGGAAACAAAACGAGTAACCTGGCCAGAACCATAGGCTGCTTGACACCAGGCCCAGATTTAGGGGTTTCTCCCTTCTAACTCCAAAATGGTCCAGCCTTTATGAAGATATACTTGCCCGCTTAGGGCAAACACTGCCCAAAGAAAAATGTTTTTTTAGCTCTATGTTTGAGTTGGAGAAAATAAGAAATAAATGCTTTAAGTATAAAAGACCTTAAGCAGATTGCACTGACCACTAAACACTGACATAAAAACTAACATTAAAGTTAGAGAATTTGTTCTTTCTTTCATGTGTCTAAATGCCATGATAAAAGCATGTTTTCCCTAAAGGGCTTTATCATAAGGGCCAGGTTCAGTCTCAAATGAGCCTATTAATTAAAAAAAAAAAAAAAAATCTATTAACTAAAAGTATATACACTAAAATATAAATAAGTGATTGGATTAGTAACAATTTTAGTTTTTTTGTGCTAATTGTATTTTCTAAAATTTTTACAATAAACATGCATTTCTTTTGTAATAGGAAAGAGAATAAAAGTTACTTTCTTTAAAAAAGTGACAGTGTTCATTTAAAAAGACCTTTAATTAGAAAACTATAAAAGGCATTAGTTAATATGCAGCATAAATTAATACTGAATGATTTTTTTTCTTAGTACATAAATTCAAATAACTTATTTTACATTTTAGGTTAAATCTGTCTGGATTAATGATTAATATCAGTGAAGGAAAAAAATCCTTGAAATATATCTGATTTTATTTAAACAAAGAGAATAAAACAAAACCATGATCCTTTATATAACTGCATAAAAATTACATTTACTATTATTCTACATAGCAATTGTGGGGTTTGTCATTTAGGATTTTCTTTAAGTTTATTTATTTTGATGGGAGGAGACAGAAGAGAGAGAAAGAGAGCAGAAGTGAACATGTGAGGGAGGGGCAGAGAGAAAGGGAGAGAGAATCCCAAGCAGGCTCCACACTGTAACCACATAGTTGGACGTGGGGCTCAAACTCATGAACCCCAAGTTCATGACCTGAGCCAAAATCAAGAGTCAAATGCTTAACCAACGGAGCTACCCAGGTGCCCCACAGCAATTTTTTTTTTTAAGTTTTTTAACGTTTATTCATTTTTGAGAGACAGAGTGCGAGTGGGGGAGAGGCAGAGACAGAGAGGGAGACACAGAATCTGAAGCAGGCTCCAGGCTCTGAGCTGTCAGCACAGAGCCCGATGCGGGGCTCGAACTCACAAATTGTGAGATCATGACCTGAGCCGAAGTCGGTTGCCCAACCACTGAGCCACCCAGGTGCCCCGCCCCACAGCAATTTTTTGTCATTACTATTACTTTTCAACAGATGTATGGATGTGATGGGAATTCTTCCAAGTTAAGAAAGCTTTGATTGTATTTCTTGAAAGAAAAATAAACATGTAAGTTTTGGAAAAATAATGTTGTATCCTTGATGTGTACAAAGTTAAGACATCCATATCCCTGAAGATACCAAGGTAAGACCTACACTCCATCTCTATACCCCATCCACCATCTATCTGGATCTTCTAATCTAGGGGTATTTATTTATTTATTTATTTATTTATTTATTTATTTATTATTTTTAGAGTTTAAAACATAATCTTCTGGGGCACCTGGGTGGCTCAGTCAGTTAAGCATGGGACTTCAGCTCAGGTCATGATCTCAGAATTCATGAGTTTGAGCCCCACGTCGGACTCTGCGCTGACAGCTCAGAGCCTCCTTTGGATTCTGTGTCTCCCTCTCTTTCTGTGCCTCTCCCTTACTGCTCTCATGCTCTGCCTCTCTCTCTCTCTCTCTCTCTCTTTCAAAAATAAATAAATACATAAGTACATAAATAAATAAATACATAAATACATAAATATATAAACAAGGCATAATCTTCTAAACAGCAATGACTAAAAGAGAATAAATTTGATGAAGAAATCAAGTGTCTTTATAAATCACACGCTAATGATTTAACAAAATTTCTGGACTACTTTTAGTCTAGAGTACTTAGAACAGTCACTTTTAAAGAAAATAAAGCACCTTATGTGTTATATACAATCATAGCTAATTTTCTGAAAATTAACCTCTAAAAATGTAATTCTATACAATATTACTATTCACTAACACTTATTAAGTACCCACAATGTACCAAACACTTTACATCCTCCCATTTGATCTCCAAACTACCCTATGAAGTTCTATTACAACCATTTTACAGATTAAGAAATTTAAGCACAAGTGATTAAGTAATTTGCCCAAAGTCACACAGCTAAAGTGAAGAACCAGGATACAGATACCCCAGCTATGATACTTAAACTGAGATCCTTGACCTTCGGCTCCGATCATGGTTTTGCTGCGTTTTGAATTATAAATTTTTCACATTTTAGGAAATCAGAACTAAACTTTTCACCCAGTAATATTTAATAATATCAGTTAAATGAAAAATACTGACATAATTCAGGCACTCTTACAAATCTCTGTACCTCTAAAATCATACACAATTTACAGTAAGTTCTACAGTACAGAGATCTGGCAACTTTTCCACCAGCACGCCTTTTTGGGATACAGCTGTGTTAAAATTATCTACAGAAATCCAGCATGCACAGGGACCCTATTGAGTGGGTACAGAAGGTTTTTATCTTGTTTTGTTTGGGTTGCTTTCTGTTTTGGTTTTTTTAGTATTTTGGTTTGGTTTTTGGTTTGGTTTTGTTCTTTGCAACCAGAAAGCTAGAAGGTGAACGCATTAAGTTGGAAGATGAAAGTCTAATCCTTTGCTGTCTTCCGCTTACAACACAAGGCCTGGGTGCCAATGTGCACAAGAGTTTAAGTCTCGGAGGATCGGCCTTTGCTCAGCGTGCGTGCGGACGCGGCGCCACCCTTTTCCGCCCCGTCGAGCACTCCCGGCGGCCGACGCGAGGGCACCGGGTGGCGGCGAGCCCCGCGTTCGGCGGAGGGCGGGGGACGGAAGGCGATGGAGACGGGCGAGGACAACCCGCGGGGGCCTTACCCAGCTCGGTGCCCAAGTTGCGAGCGGACATGGCGCGGGCCACAGCAGCAGTCGCAGGCTCCTCAACGCCCAGCTCACCTCCTCCCAGCCCTTCCTGCGTCCCACCCCCTCGGCTCCGGCGCGCTCGCCCCGCCCCTGTCCCTCTGGGGGCGGGGCCGGCGACCTCTGCCCCCGGGCCCTCTGCCCCCGTCTGCTGCCTCGCGTAGGAATCCTGCCGCCCATCGCCCTGGCTCCTTACCGCAGGTATGCGACTCGAGCCCTAGCTCCCGAAACAATGCCACCAAAACCCGTTTTAAAATGCTTGAGCTGCCAACTGCACTGAATAAAGACATTTCGAAACTTTTAACTGTAAGATTAAGTAACCAGAGGGGAGAGCATTCCTCCCAGTTACTGTCCGAGGGCAGAGCTCTGCAGCCCCATGCATGAAGGGCAGCAGTGGTCCCTTAGCCTCGTAAGGGCGGCCAGCGAACAAACAAGGGTCCAGAGCACACTGGGACTTCTAACCTAGACCTCGTGGAAAAAAAAGCAGATCAGTTGCCTGAAAAAAAAAGGGGGTGGGGCTAGGAGTGAGAAGTCGGCTTTCTCAGCATAGCACTTGCAGTAATTAAGTGGGACAGTGGGCACATCAACTGCCTTTATAAGGTTCATTTTCCTCGTCTCTAAGAAAAGACTTTGACGATTTCTTGGAGCTCTAAACTCTGAATCTGTAATACTAAGATTTTTTTCAGCCTAACTTGTCTGTAACCAGGAGGTTAAAATTGTCTAGAGTCATTCATCATAGACTACTAGTCAGCTCCTCTCTACTCACCATAAAAGGCACCTCCTCTCTGCTGGAAGGAAGAAAACTCCTAGTCGTGGCTTGTCCACCAGGAGCCAGTTACTGTGCTAGGTGCCTTTAGATGTATGATAGCATTTGAGTCTCAGAACAATCCTGCCAAGTATGTATTACATCTCATTGCTATACCTGCAGACACCAAGGTTCTGCGTAAAGAGGCATCCTGGTATACTGGAAACTGACAAGGCTGGGAAAAGGCACACAAACCCCTTAATATACCAGCAATTCCACTAACAACTCATCTGTAAAATGGGGATGATCAAAATATATATGCCTTGCAAAGCTGTGTGTGTCGAGCACCTAGGAAATGTTATGGCATATAATAGGTGCTCAACAAATGGAAGCTGTTAATGTTATTGTCAAGTTCACAAAACAATTATAGGGCTCAACAGGAAAAGTAACCCCAGTCTTACTCCCTTACACTGAGCTGCCTCTCAGCTTTGTCAAGACATAGCTATTGCTCAGTAGTTTGAATGTGTCTAGATTCTAATCCATGTATAATAGCATGTTTTCCTTTATTTTTATTTTAACCCTCAAAAAGAGAAGAGCAAACCCTGAAAGTCTGGAGCACTTGCAGCTAGACCATCTGCTCTCAAGTAGAACATAAACAATGTCACAGAAAATCAACATCAGCCAAGGCCATTGTAACCATGATGAAACAACAAAAACAAGACCACTCGTACTCCTGTTTGAACACAGAAAAAACATGAACATGTCCAAAACACAAAAATGACAAAATGGCCCTTTTCCTGCCTAATATGAGTGTCACTTCTTTATCTAGCAACTTTAACCTTACCCCCTTCTTCTTGTATTCTAAATAAGAATTAAGATGCTCTGTCATAGAACACTTGGGGCAGCTGGCTGGCTCAGTCAGAAAAGCATGCAACTCTTGATCTCAGAGTTGTGAGTTTGAGCCCCACATGGAATGGAGAAACTACTAAAAAAAATTTTTTTAATTAAAAAAAAAAAAAAAAGAATTCTCACCACTTCCTTCCAGCATCCAACCCAGAGTAATGCTCTGCTTCCTTGAACCTTCCCCAAACCATGGAACACAAGCCCATTTCTAACACTCTCTGACACACCTCAGAGTCCTGCATGGTGAGTGTTCTTCCTTGTTTCAATAAATTAATAAATCCAAATTTATCCAACCACAGGTGTGTTCCTGTGATCTTCAGCTAGAGAGCACTGACATCCATACAAAGACAGTAAATGGAATTCTGCTTTTAGGGGCAGACACAACTCTAAGCCAGATTCTAAGCCACTTATATACACCCACATGCAACACAAATTTATTAAAACAAACAAAAACTGTGAGATCCTAACTTAGTTAAAACACAAGAATCAGGGAAGCCTCCTACAGCTGACATTTCAGCAATGTATCTGACAAAAACTTCTCAAGGACTTTTTCTAAAATTGACATGTTTCTAATACTAATCTGGAATTAATCTCTACAGTTTGAAAGTATGTTAAACTTTCAGGATTCAGAAGGATAGTAGGGATAGAAGGAAAAAAAATGAGTTTCATTTAACTTTTTCTTTTAAATGTTTATTTATTGAGAGAAATAGAGAAGGAGTAGGGGGAGGCGCAAAGAGAGAGGGAAAGAGAGAGAATCCCAAGCAGGCTCTGAGCTGTCAAAGCAGAGGCCAACTAGGGACTCCATCTCACTAACCATGAGATCATGCCCTGAGCTGAAATCCAGAGTCAGATGCTTAACCAATTTCCAGATGCCTCTTATTTTATTTTATTTTAATTTAATTTAATTTTATTTTATTTCATTTTATTTTATTATTATATTTTTTGGAGATGGGGAGAGATAGAGCATATGAGTGAGGGAAAGCAGAGGGAGAGAGAGAATCCCAAGCAGTCCGCACACTCAGCATGGAGCCCGTCAAAGAGCTCGATCCAACGACCTGGAATCATGACCTGAGCTGAAATCAAGAGTGAGATGTTCAACCAACTGAGCCACCCAGGCACCCCAATTTTTTAAGTAAGCTCTATGCCTATGCCCAACATGGTCCTTGAACTGACGACCCTAAGATGAAGAGTTGCATGCTTTACAGACTGAGCCAGCTAGGCACCACACAAAATAAGTTTAATGGGGGAAAATGTTGCCAACTTTCACTTTGTGAATATCATTTTTAAACTTACTGCCTTCTGAAACTTTTGAAGTATCCCTAGGCAAGGCTTCTCCAAGAAAGATCTGTAGACCACTATTATGACACTGGAATCTCCCAGGAGTTTTTCCTAAAGCAAATTCTAGGCTTTACCACAGCCCTACTGAATCAGAATGTCTAGGATCATGGAATCCATATTTATTTTTAAGTTTATTTATTTATTTTGTGAGACTGAGAGAGAGGAGGGAGAAAGAGAATCCCAAGCAGGCTCCTGCTCAGTGCAGAGCCCAGCATGGGGCGTGATCTCACAACCATGAAATCACAACCTGAGCTGAAATCAAGAGTCAGCCACTTAACTGACTGAGCCAACCACACACCCCTGGAACTTATGATGTTTATGCAACCTAAATGTAAAGAATCATCAACCTAGGGGCAGAGAAAGCTATGCATGTCACCCTGAAGCTTCAGCCCAAATTGGCTCTTACATGAATAAAGTTATTTCAAGAATTGTATTTTTTTAATCCATGCAAATTTTGTCATTCTTTTTTTTAATATAAACTTTAAATTGCCAGATAAATTACTTGTCTTCCCATCCCCACTCTTTCTTCAATTAAAAGTAAAGCTCTAGGACTATGTCATATTTATTCTTGAAGCCTCAAGAACCTACAATGCCTGGGACATAAAAGTAATCCAATTGTTAACCTTCAAAGGACATGGACCATTTGTGTTTGGTTGTTCACATGCCTAAGGTTTAGTGGCATCATTGGTACATGGTAAACCGTGTATATTTGTTAAATGAATAATTGTATATTATTGGCGGGGCTATTTTTTTTATAATGCCCATGGTTTTATCCAGTCCAATTCCATTTGACTGTAGTCTCTATCCTATGATTTCTAAGAGCATTCACAGATTCCTTAGGTAAATATTCACTTGGAATATATGGATTGTAGCCAGATTTTCTAAATCAAAACAGGAAAGATATAGAAGCAAGGAGGACCAGACAAGAGTCGGAATGGCAGAATCGAAATCTCTCAGAACTGAAGGGACACTTATAGAACATCTAATTTCTATTTCATGGTGAAATAAAAGAAATAAGTATATTCAGTCTTTTATAGAAGATAAATTTATTCCATTTAAATAACAATTCTTTATTCTGATACTAGGTCTTTACTACCAACTTGGATTTGTAAAAATGTCTCTTTTATGAAGACTGCAGTGGTAGAAAGAAAAAATTTAACAGCCTCACTTGGCAAGACTAAAAGCAAACCATTCTATCTTGCCCCTCACCCCTCCTTTTTCTTTAATCTATTGGTCCACAAAATCCCAAAGTTAGAGAATCATTGGTAGAATAAATCTATAATACTAGCTAAGTGCTTCCTATGAGTTAAGTTCTTTACATTATTCAAGATTTCAGAAAAAAAAAAAAAAA